GGAATCATTTTAATGAAGAAAAACGTATTACCGCAAAATTTGTTGTGGCTTGAATTTTATGAAATGCATTATCTATTCCTTCTTGTATCTGATCAACAGTATTAATTGGTTCATAATACGCTAGTTCTTTAAAAGCGCCAAACAAAAAAAACAAGGGATTTAAATCGGGAGACCTCGCAGGGTTCGGGTTCGGGTTCGGGTTCGGTTCTCCCAATGGATCGTTGTCTAAATGATTATTCATTTAACACGTTCAGTGCGAACAGCGTCAAAAGACGCCCTCCGCTCCTGTGGTGGGAGGCGAACGGCGTCTTTCGACGCTCTCTGCCGGCTTCCAAAAAAAGGAAAAAACTATTTCAGTTTCTGAGGTGGGTATCCTCATCCCAGTTCGCAGTCAATGTGTTAATCCTGCGGTTATGTCACGACGAACATGCGGTGGGGCACCGTTGTGCTGATACCACATTCGTACTCTCGTTGGTAACGGAACATCATCTAACACATTTTCTAAATAATACTCTAGAAAAGTTAAGTATGAGTTTGCATTTAAAGGTTGGGGCAATACCTGCATTAACAGTTGATCATTGAAAATGCCGCACCAGACATTTCTAGAAAATCTGTATTGAAAGGAGTAGACTCTTACAGAACGAGGATTTTCTAACCACCAAATATGGCCGTTATGAGAATTAGAGGTTCCACTCATTGTAAAGAGCAAGTCATCTGACCACAAAACCTAATCATTGAGATCTGCATTTTGATTATGCATTTGCAGTAACCACTCACAAAAATTACGCCGTTGCACTTCGTCGCCGGGGTGCAGACATTGCACCATTTTGCCGATGGTAAGGATGAAAAACTCCCCGATTTAAAATTCTCCACGCAAGACTTTGAGAACATGGTAACAACTGGGCCGCAATCCGCTTAGTACTAGTACTAGGATCATCCAACGCCAAATTATTCACTCCCAGTTCCTCTTGAGCAGTATGCCTCTAACTCCGGGAAAATTGGCAATTCCATATTGTCGAAGTCTTAGAAATGAACGCGTAAAAACCTTTGGGGTAGGTTGGCGTCTGTTAGAAAATCTACGTTGATACTCCCGCGAAGCCGCTAAAGCAATTCCATTACAGAACCCATACACAAAAATAATATCGGCGTACTCATCATTGCTAAATTCCATTTCAACACTCAAAAATGGAAAAAAGGAACTTTTGACTTGACTTGCAAGATGGTAGTAGTAACGAGAACAACCGTATATCACATAACGTTGACAAAATATCTCCCAAGAAAGGTCAAGTTGGTATCAACGAGTAATATTTATATTTGTAAAAATAGTGTCACTAGTCCCGTGTATCTCCGCCACTGGTGCACGTTAAATTTAATTTAATAACGACTTTTGAATGTGGACAATACTCAGGTAAATCTTCAAACTAAATTTTAGTTCATTCCAGTTCATAATTTTGAAGATATTAAAGAAAAAATTGTTTTTTATTTTAAACTAAACCCCGTATCTTCTTAATGAAGCCCTCGAGGAAAAAATGTTACATAGAAGACTCCCCCCTTAAAATGCGGTCATGTGTATGATGTTTCATTTTTGGTCACGACTTGTGAATCACCCTGTATATATATATATATATATATATGGGTGGCTTCGAAGTTGAGTCATTTATTTTAACAGTGAGTAGATCTGATCAAAAGAAATGTTTTTTTCCTTTAACATTTTTCTGGTAAAGTTAAAGTAACAGAGTTATAGCCCTTTAGAAGTTTGAGTACCGCCCTGTCTCAATAATAATATTATGTGCTCGTATTTGGCAACAACGGATATAATCCGCCTTATCGGTTCATCGCATTGGAAACAAAAAAGCGAAAGAATTTGAAACGCTTATTACGATGTTTTTACTACAATTTTATTCAGTTGTATTCAGTCAATGTGTCAGTCGGTAACGCGTGAGTGAATAGTGGTGTTTGTTGCGTGGCTCAAACGAAATAAAAAATAGCACATGTTTACGAAAATGCTGAACTTGTGGACATGATTCTTATTTACGGGGGGGAGTCTTTACAAAATGCTGCCGCGGCATCACGGATTTATGCGGATCGGTTTCCTAATGGAGTGCAACCAACCCCTCGTGCCTTTGTTAATGTAGTACAAAGGGCTCGTGAATCAGGTGACTTAAGACCTCACAGGGGAGGGCATGCCGGTGCTCGAAGACCGCACGATCAAATACAGGTCCGCACTGAAATACTTGTCGGGAGGATACTTTATAAAACAAGGTAACATTTTTTTTGGATTTTTTCTCAATTTTTACACACATATTTTGGTTTATCTTCCTTCTACAATCATTATCTGAAAATTAATGACTCAACTTCAAAGTCACCCTGTACATATATCCATTCTCATTAAGTCGGTTGAGAAATAAAAGCTAAATATACCTATAATATAAATTGGAACGTTACTTTTTAAAATATATTCGAATGCCGTCATAAGATCTCTCATGTCCCACCAAACTTCTATAACATATAAAAGTTTAGCAATATCAGATTTATGTCTAGAAGTCTGAATATTGGGTGGCATTTATCCACAGTCTGGCAGCCATGCCGCACCCTGAAAGAATGACTATCTGACAATGACATTAGTCAATCGTGTTGACGAATAACAAGAAGTTCCTCCTTCTTTACTGTATATGTTTTGTGCTGAAAACTACTAAAATCAAATCCAAGCGAATAACCAAAATTTCTGTGTTATGTACTGCGGTTATGATATGGTTCAAGATGGCACACGGATTGATGACGTCAGTTGCTCGAATCGCTTGAACGCGTTGGTTTTAACCGCGGTTTTGTTGCAAGTTGTTTATTTTAGAAAAGCCCGTATATAATTTCTAATTATTTTTATTATCACTTAATAATCGGTGCTTTTTCGTGTACAACGGTGTATGGAAAGTTTAAAAAGAAACCTTTCATATAATTCATGGGAGAAATGTTTTTCTTTTCAGAATTTTTTTTTTAATGATGGAACCATGGCTTTGTAGCTATGACAACTTTCAATTCTCTAAAGTTTTCCGCATGTCAAAGAAAACATTTATTGATTCAGCAGAAATGATGAAAAAGCGATGAAAAAAGATATTAGCAAAACCGTATACAGGTGGACATCATCTAGTGAGTTTATATGGCCATATTTTGGTATTCTTGTGGTATATGGCTACACAGTAATGAGTATAATTAATGAAGTGCTCCACTTTATGGTAACACTGAAGTCAGCCTGTATCACGTTTCCCAAAAATGAAGCTGAAGTACAATAACAATATCCAATACCCGGCAAAATTCTATCTTGTCACATTTCAAATAATAACCAGAAATATAAAACTACTCTTGAGTTGGGTATATACCACAATTTTGCGGTGATAACTATGACATATAACAGCTGATTCATGACGTCACGGATCTTATAACCAAACTGATAGCCACACTCGCTTGAACGGATCGGTAAATACCAACCCAAAATGGTAAATACCATTTTCATTTGGCTATCCGCTTGAATTTGATTTAAGTTGGCGACCCTGCGCCCACTTCATCACCGAGACCACACCCACCGACAGTGTTGCCAACCCTACAGTTTTAACTGTAGATTTACAGTTTTTCGAAAATCTAAGTTTTCAGTTCGGCACGGGTCTTACGTATCTTAAAAAGTGACATTGTGCCAATTTTTTTGACATTATGTAAGTTTTTCTACAAGATGTTAAGTTAGCACTAGATGACAGACACGTTCTGAACTCGTTTTGTAGTTGTACGTGTTGCCTAAACGTCATGAGGTGTTAGTTATCAATGTTTGGCTATGATGTGATGTAAAATCGGCTTCAGAGATGACACTACTGTCTAAGTCTAAGCTGTAAGTTGTATGTGTTGATGATAATTCCATTGGATTCTTGTCTCAAATACACTTACTTGAGATTCAAAGCTAGAAATTAGTTGCGCATCTATTTTTTCTTATCCATTCTGGAAAATACAGATGCGAATTTGATGAACTTCAAAAATAAGAGAGATAGCAACAAATAATTATATAAGTATATATATAATAAGTCATATACATGCTAACAGTAATTACACACAACGCGGGCGCGGTGATGTTGTCTCGTAGTTCTCCTCAAAGTTTTCCGTAATTTATAACTTTGTACATAACCTGTCTTCAGAAAGACAGCATATAAATAACCTGTCGGACACATCTAATAGGTATTGGCATTATATTCAGTAATGATTTTCTCACACAGCAAATATCACTGATTTTATACACATGCAGACCAATACACATAATCATCCAGATGTGACCTTGCCATTCAACCAACTTTCTTCTCAGAGATAAAAACTACAGACCACTCGGCTTCACAAAACATATGCAACCAACAATGCGCGTACTTTAGTTGAGTGATTCCTCCATAGATGAACGTTCACAACGATCCTAGTGAGCAAACTTAGAATGACTGTTTGCGCCCTAAAAACTACCTAGTCTGCAAGATGACATCTCATAGGTTTTGTTGACGTTTTATAGGCTTTTTACATAATACCCCTACGGGCCTTCAAATCTACATTTTTTCTTCGTTCTTCAACTTTCAACCACCGGCAAGTTTTTGCTTCAATGTCTACCAAAATTACCGAAAAATTTTACCGAAAACAAATCGACTATACCTACCTGACAACCCTTAAGAAAATCTACTTTGAGTCAAATTCTTTTTGCAGCGGTTCGGGTTCTCTTTGACCGTAAGTGACATGAAACTGACAGAATTCAAGTCATTATAATCAGAACCGCTGGGAAAAGAACTTGATTCAAGGTGAGCCAGAAGTGTGCTATTCGTAAGCAATATACCATTTTTGACGAGTATCTATCGCGGAGCAATGTCAAAAATGACTGCTGATCCTGCATTCAAAAAGCAAATTCTTTTTGAGCGGTTGTAGTTCTGGTTGGCCTTGAGTGAATTTGGAAGAAATTTAAACGGAAATTCTGTAATTTTTATGTCCATCAAGTTCTACCAGAACTACAACCGCTCAAAAAGAATTTGCTTAAGCAATGCAAAACTGTTACTTTTGACCTTGGTCGTGATAGATACTCGTGAAAAATACTGTAAATGGAAGGCTGTATGTAGATTTACAGTTTTTTAAATAATATTCTACAGTTACATACAGTTTTTTTAAGTTCATATAGTTTTTCTCTCGGATAGGATTGGCAACACTGCCCACCGGTTACTCACAACCACAACTTGTTTTTGGTCCCGTCGTAACCTGATAGCAAGTTAACAAGAAGGGTTTATCTCTGGTCATAACCACTTGTTGCCACAAATCGCTGGGCTTAGAAAGTCATGACAAAAAAAAACTGTAGAAACAGTTTGCGAAAATGAGTGATACAATCGAAGCACATGAAACACCTAGTTGGTTACTGGAGCTAGAAGCTAACAGGGAGAGAAGGCTGAAGGCACGACTTGGACATGAAACTGGTGCTGGAGCTTCTTGTTTGAAGTGCGCTGATAAATGTCCAGGTATGTAATTCATCTTCTGGCTATCAAGTATAATAAATGTAAACGTTACGGTGGATGTATTCACCTGCTTAGTTTATAAAGTAACTGACTGAGTAGTGTTAAGAAGTTTATAATCTAGGTTTTATTCGAATATCTGACTAATTCTGGTGGAGCCTTATCACTAAGTAGAAACCACATCACAACCCCTCAAATAACTTATCTATTTCTTTGGCTAGTAGTTACTATAGTTGATAAACTAATCCTTGTTTAGTTAATTTGGTTTGTTATACCTACATGCAGTTTAAATTGAAGTTACAATAGTTACAAACAAATAAAATGACTTAGGTGCCAAAATTGGAAGTTGAATCTGACGCACTGAATCGACAAAAAAGTGAAAAATACTGTTCATTGGAAAAATCTGCAGTGCTGTATAATGTGATGATAGCCAAAATTAAAATATATAGATTCTGGATACAAAAGTATTTTTGGAAAGTATTCAAAATGGTATTGTTAATTCTTCTAACAGTTTCTCGTCAGATATATGCAATAAAAAATGACACAACCCTTCAGTTTTGAAATGAACTACAATGGAACTACATACAGCAAGCCTGATGAGATATAAAATATTTTTGCATTTTTTTTTCATTCAGTATTTTTGTGTAATCCTCATTACCTTCATCTTATAATACCTTCCCTAGGTAATTTAAATGGAACTGAGGTCTGTAAGGCATTGAAAAAAGTGACCAGTGGTGCAGATAGTATTCCATCATTTTTTGCTGAGAGACTGTGCTTCTGTTCTTGCATACTCATTAACAAAAAAAATATACAATATTTGAAAAATAAAGTCACTCCCAATGTTTGGCATGAAGTATGAAAATGCCCATTATTTAAAAAAGGTAATAATAATCTATATTCCAAATTGTACAATGACATTACAAAAATTGTATAGCCACTACAAAATGAAATGTTGCATCACTATCACCATAACTATAGTAGTTTACCTAAGACCTTTTTTTGTGTTACATGGTTATTTATCTTAAAACAGCTACAATTTTAAACTATTACAACTCCCATAGAATTCATCTATTGTATAAGGCTCTGACTGTACTAGAAATTGCTTAATAGTCTTTTTAAATTTATGTAAACTGTTTATATTTTTAATTTCATTTGGTAGATTGTTAAAAAATTTTAAACACATGTAAATAGGGCTTTTTTCTGTGGAGGATAATCTGTGTATCCGATAAGTTTCTTTGAAATTTAGTCCCTTTAGCAGACGTACTAAATAAACCTATTGCATCCCCAAAAAATAATCCCATACTTTAGAACACTTTCAAAATTAGCATGGTACAATATTTTTGTACTCGTATTATTTAGATATCTTGATATCACCCTAAAACCATAGCAAATGGAATTGAGCCTCTTTAGCAGTTCGAATACATGTGTTGTCCAATCTAAAAATTCATCAATATAGATAAGAATAGAATTAGAATTTTACACTTTCACTCAACTACAGTTGATGATCATCTATATCGATACATTGTGGCTTAACGACTTTACTCTGCTTAGTTCTAAATAATGTTGCATCAGTTTTGGAGATTCCCATTAGCAGTTAGGTCCTGTACACTTGTCCCATCCAACACTAAATTTGTGTCATCAGCATAGCAGATAATTTTATGCTTGCTCTGATCACCACTAGTAACAAAACAGAGATCGTTTAAAAAAACTACAAACAAAATGGGCCCAAGTATACTACCCTGTGCTATGCCGGTTGAAGTCAACTCAATGTTTGACTTGTAAGTTTAACAATTTCAACCCTCTGTTGTCTATTATAGAGGTATGACTTGAACAAGTCTAGTGCAGTTCCTCTTACTCCATATCTTTGTAGCTTTAATAACAATATGTCTCTGTTGATGCAATCATAAGCTTTGGACAAGTCCAGGTAGAAACCAACCACTAAGTTAAAGTTTCCCTCCTCTAATTGCTTAAGTACTGTTTGAACAAATTGAAAGATTGCAGTATCTGTTGATCAAATTGGTTTTATAACAGCTATTTTCAAATTATCTGGGAACGATCCTTGTCTAAAAGCGTTATTAATAAGTAAGCACAAAACATGTTTTAAAACTGGAATGGAAAGTTTTACTATTGTTGTTGGAACTTCATCTATACCACAGCTGAATTTATTTTTTATCCTCCTCGACAGTTCCCACAGTTCATCAACAGTCTTTGGTCTTAAGTATAATGATTGGTCGCTTTCTTGTAAATTGAATTCAAAAGGTACCTGTGTCACATCTTTCAGTAAAAGCGGAATTGCGGAAAACATATATTCATTATACTGCTGTGGTATCAGATTTGGATCTCCTTTGGTATGAATGTCTTTATGATTGTTTTGACCTGTGATTGCATGACATATCGCCCACATAGATTTATTTTTATTGTCCGAATTTCTGACTTTCTGATCGTACCTTTCTGATTTGGCCTTCTGCAACAAATAGTCATATTCTTTTTTGTGTTCTTGTACATTTCCTTATAATCACCATCTACTCTACATAGGGTCAACAGAATATTACTTATTTATATATATATATATATATATATCCTTGCATTTCTTTGGGTAGAAGGCAAAGTATTGCAAAAGTACACTCTTATGACTTAAACTCGAGCTTTCGAAGATCTATCTCTTCATCGACTGGAGTAAGATGGCGAGATTGTTGCTGAAATTGTTTTTAAACAACAGTGGAGGGAACACATAGTCGACGAATAGAAAAACTGGACTGATGAGCTTCGATTAGGACAAAATTATTTTATTAATCATTTCGAAGTTTTCTTTTTTAATTAAACGTTGACCGCTCTCACACGAGGTCCAACAACTATACAAATTAAAGCAGACATTAATGCTACTACTTATTGTTTCTGCCAACGTCCTCATCCACAAAAACTTCCACACAAACCTCAGTCTTGAAGCTTGACCTTAACTATTTAAGGGAATGCCAGAAGGCAGCAATCCTCAGTACCTGTAGCATAGTCAGGAAGTTCTTCAACTAAGTGTGCCTATGGCTGACCTCAGGATTAATTTTCCTGTAAGTCAAGAATACCAGAATACCTGTGAAGCAAAAAAAAATATATAGTAATAATAGGCTTTTATTTTACATGGTGGGTATCAGATAGAAGCTGCTCTTACCACCAACCAAGACTACACAAAAAGTACAGTACAATTATATTGAAAAACCAAATTAAAAAGCAGATTAAAAGAAAATGTAAATGTCACGAACACATACTAACAAGGCACTCACTAAACACATTGAAAGAAAGGTCGATACAAAAAAAAAGGTTGAATAGGTTAGTACAAAATACATACTAACAGCCTGATACAACAATGACACTTTTTTCAAAAATTGAAACAATGTTATCTAAAACGAATTGCCACCTAGCCTATAAATTGTCTCTATAATAGAGTTTTTTTTTGAGGTACAACTGATTTTGGGGAATCATTTCCCTGGGGGTGAAAATGAATTTTTTTAGCATATTTTTTATCTGCCAGCCTTTCAGAAGCTTTCTCACACCATGCCACCCAGCCTATAAATTGTCTCTATAATAGAGTATTTTTTTGAGATACAACTGATTTTGAGGAATCATTTCCTTGGGGGTGAAAATGAATTTTTTAGCATATTTTTTTATCTGCCAGCCTTTCAGAAGCTTTCTCACACCATGCCACCCAGCCTATAAATTTTCTCTATAATAGAGTATTTTTTGAGGTACAACTGATTTTGGGGAATCATTTCCTTTGGGGTGAAAATGAATTTTTTAGCATATTTTCTTATCTGCCAGCCTGTCAGAAGCTTTCTCACACCATGCTACCTAGCCTATAAATAGTTTCTATAATAGAGTATTTTTTTGAGGTGCAACTGATTTTGGGGAATCATTTCCTTGGGGGTGAAAATGAATTTTATTAGCACATTTTTTATCTGCCAGCCTTTCAAAAGCTTTCTCACACCATGCCACCTAGCCTATAAATTGTCTCTATAATAGAGTATTTTTTTGAGATACAACTGATTTTGGGGAATCATTTCCTTGGGGGTGAAAATGAATTTTTTAGCATATTTTTTTATCTGCCAGCCTTTCAGAAGCTTTCTCACATCATGCCACCCAGCCTATAAATTGTCTCTATAATAGAGTATTTTTTTGAGATACAACTGATTTTGGGGAATTATTTCCTTGGGGGTGAAAATAAATTTTTTAGCATATTTTTTTATCTGCCAGCCTTTCAGAAGATTTCTCAAACCATGCCACCCAGCCTATGAATTGTCTCTATAATAGAGTATTTTTTTGAGGTACAAGTGATTTTGGGGAATCATTTCCCTCGGGGTGAAAATGAATTTTTAGCATATTTTTTTATCTGCCAGCCTTTCAGAAACTTTCTCACACCATGCCACCCAGCATATAAATTGTCCCTATAATAGAGTATTTTTTTGAGGTACAAGTGATTTTGGGGAATCATTTACTTGGGGGTGAAAATGAATTTTTGAGCACATTTTTTTATCTGCCAGCCTTTCAGAAGCTTTCTCACACCATGCCACCTAGCCTATAAGCAGTCTCTATAATAGAGTATTTTTTTGAGGTACAACTGATTTTGGGGAATCATTTCCTTGGGGGTGAAAATGATTTTTTTAGCATATTTCTTTATCTGCCAGCCTTTCAGAAGCTTTCTCACATCATGCCACCTAGCCTATAAATTGTCTCTATAATAGAGTATTTTTTTGAGGTGCAACTGATTTTGGGGAATTATTTCCTTGGGGGTGAAAATGAATTTTTTAGCATATTTTTTTATCTGCCAGCCTTTCAGAAGCTTTCTCAAACCATGCCACCCAGCCTATGAATTGTCTCTGTAATAGAGTATTTTTTTGAGATATAAATTATTTTGAGGAATCATTTTTTTGGGGGTGAAAATGAAGCTTTATTTATATTTTTTCATCTACCACCCCTTTAGAGATTTTCTCAGTATATGCCATTTAGCTCATTAATTA